ATGTTATAGAGAAAGATAACATAGTGGCTACTAGCTAGTAGCTAGCAGCCGGTGAGGGTCGGCATGGGCCTAAGGGGTGTCCATGGGCCTAATTAGTCAGCTTCTTTTTTCATTTTAGCGAAGTTCTTGCCGTTTTCTTCACATTTTGAAAGTAAGCGCAAGGCCTTGCAAGTATGGCCCTTCCGGATCCGTCGACCACATTTGAGAGGTCATCTTATATTCTATCGCGAAATGGCCTTTAAGAAGATGTTACTCCGGGCCACCACTGCCGACCATAATGCGGACCCACAAAACGCAGGAATATCGAAAATTTTTTTTGGCAGTATGCCTTCGTTCAATAAGAGTTAATAGATGAGGTCCTGATTACGATTTTGACACTTATTTTCGACGTCGACGCAATTTGGCGCCAGTATAGCGCTTAACGTCCCTCATATGGGGGTACATAGACGTACCTTTCGCTCCTTTTTTGGCGTTCCTGGAGGCCGCTCAGCCAAAACGAAGCCCACTTTTATGGTTCATGGGCAAGGCCCTACAGTGCAATAAACCGTTTCGAAAAAGCGGGGACGCCCAGAACGACCTTCCTGGTCAGGGATAGTTCAATTATTATTGTTGGGTTTTCACTGCTTAATTGTGATGCTCTCCATACATATTACTGCACGTTCTATTTGTTCACGTTGCGTAATTTATCACTAGAGGCTCGCACGTCATAGCATGAGTCGCTGCGCTATATTTGCTAAAAATCAGAAATGCCTGGCATGGATTTTGAAGGCAAAGAGCACGATACCATGACGCCTTTTACAAGGAGGGAAATCTTATAGCGCCCCATTAAGCTGCAATATACGGACCCGCACGCCCGTCCATCGCGCCCGCGTGCCCTTAAATGTCCGACTGATGGTGCGTGCGTACATAAGCGAAGGGATTAATATGAAGCGGCTGCACTGCCGCACGGATTCATGAGGATTCATGATTCATTTCGTACGTGCACCAGGTCTACCGTAGCTGGTTATGGCACAATGCCAACGGGAAACCCGCCCGGCAATTGCTTTCTGAGTCGTGCAGAGCCAAGGCTTTTCTGCTGGTTTTTGGCCGTTTTATACCGTTTTTTTGCCATTTCCCCCACTCTGTAGCACCCCTGCTACCATTTTTTTTCAAATTATCGTGCCTTATATCTCTGAGTTCAGCAATGTCATGTGATCCTAGCGCTTAGACAACCATATTTCTAGTTCTTTTTCTAACCTTTACTGATTTCGCTGAATTGCTGTTCGTTTGACGGGCGTAACTTCGTGCAATTAATCACAAGCGTAAACTTGTTTGGCCATTGCGGTTCTTCAGATATCGACCGTATTCGTCTATCGTGGTATTGACGTAAGAACAAGAGAGAGAGAGCGCTCAGTTCGGAGAAAACGTATTGTGTCGCGAACGCCGCATCGTCGATGGCGGTTCGATTACTCTCTACGCGGCAAACCAGCGTTGAAAAGCAGCAGCAGCGTTGAGTCTGTGATAAGGACAGTACACTAACGACCTGCACACGCTCCTGGTCTTCGCACAGTGCGAAACGGTGATTGACGAACGGGGCGGCGGCAACGACGGCGGCGGCGGTGGCCAACAGCACGTATGGCAGGCCTACGTGGACGTCTTCGTAAGGCTCGGAAACGGTTCACAGCGTGTTACTTTCCATTATCGAGACGTTCGCGGAAGATCAGCATTGATGCGGATGTGTACGTATCGGCTGCCGGGTCGTGTCAACATCTTCCATATTACCAGTAAGTTGTGATGCATTCACAGGGTTTTCTCTTTTTATCCACCACTTTATCTTCGTTTAATCCGGCCTTCAGTATTTTTTCTCGTGCATGGCTTGCTAGCAAAATGTGTCAGTCTCCTATATTTTTTTCCTTTGTCATGCCATAGCTCAAAAAAGAAGATTCTTCAGTAGGGATCCGAGTACTGACAGTAATATTTAGTCGTGAATTAAAATGGAAGTTAGTTGGGGTTGCGGACGCCACTTTTCATCGGCGACCGTTGTCTAATGAAATATTCGGCGCTATTCAACTATTACTACCCAGATTTCTGGAAACGGGCCGGATTTTGATCGACTTTTTTCTAGGTCAGGTGGATTTTGGAAGTGTTCTAGTGGTAACTCGACTCCTGAACAAAGATTACACATCCGCTCCCTCTAAAACGCCTGGCCACAGCGCCACAGCGCAGGCGCCATAAGTTCCTGCTAGATCACGAAATCCGCTGAATAACTGTACCTCCGGGGTATTTGACCGTTCCTAACACTGAATATCACATTACCGATCGGCTTTGAAACCGCTTCTGCTCGTCCTCGCTACGGGGCCGGCCGCCAAAAATTCCCCAACCGCTGGCGCCTATGGCCGGGCGCTTTCAGCAATTTCAGGCTAAGTGGATGTGATATTCGTGTTCAGGAGGTCGAATTACCCCTAGAACCCAACTTTCAGCCAAATCCACCCCCGTAGAAAAAAGTCGATCAAGATCCGGCCTGTTTTTCGCAACCCCCTGGGGTAGTAATCAGTTGAATATGGCTTCATTTCTCAAAAAACTTCACCTTGTCCCACGACGTCGCCATGTTTGCACGCGCGAAGTTCACTCTCGCCAGCTGGTGTTGGGCAGTCAGGCGAGGAGCTTTCTTCATGGTCTTCCGTTGACATATGCTCATTTGATCGAAATAGCGCACATGTCTTTCATTTTTGAGAACGCGGTAGATTTAACTGCACATGGATCTATCTCACAGAAAGGGGGAGTTTGAGGCGACACGCGCTATTTTTCTGATGTCTTTTACGGACAAAGATCGAGGACGCCCCGAAATATGTGCTGAATGGTAGCCATCAGGATTCTGGAGGTATTTACCAACGCACGTCGCCGAACGTTCCTGATGCTGTCTTGCAATTTCTCTATTTGAGTGTCCAGCAGCACTGAGAGCTCGAATCTGAGATTGTTCCGTCTTCGGAGAGAGTACTGCCACGACGAGGCATGAGTACAGATTAATATTGGAGTCAGAAAACGATCGATATGGTTTTGCAGATTTGGGATCAAACTTTTTGAATTTTCTCAGGTGTCCACATACTTTTGTTATTAAGAAATTTTTTCAAAACAATAAATAATTGAACAGTAACTCACAATGTATTCAGAAGTAGTGCATTCCTATACTTTCGCTTATGGAGGAATCTAACAGTGATGGTCTCAGATCGCAAAATCCAAAGGCAACTTCGCAAAATCAAAATTTGAGGTGTCCACATACTTTTGTTACGCACTGTATGTCCCTTACTGTAACTATTCCTCAGCGACTCTGGCCGTCTGCGTCCTGACCCTCAGCCTTAGTTAAGGGAAGGGATACACAGGAGCATTCGTTTAGTCTCAGCTACAACTACGTTAGCCTCGTTTGTTTTCGTTCTTTAGCTGCTGAAAAAAAGGTATTTCTAGTTTTTTCTTATTTATTTTTGTATTCATAGCGCGTTTTTCTTTGGCATGAATAAAGAGATTGAAAAATTCTGAAGATTTCGGTGAAAAAAGTGTCCTCTTGTTACAATCTTTTTCTTCAACACTAATACAATTTATTGTTCAATAGTAGCTTATCTTGCTCTCTTTATCAAACAATCTTCTTTCTGCTCTATTCTAGTTTTAGTACGAGTGTGAGAGCAGTTTTATTGGAACGTCGAAATTCTGACTGTATATTTGCTTTTGAGATGTTATTTATTATTATTTATTGATGTTTTATGAGGCAATTCGAGTTCACTGAATCGCAATGGATGCTGGGAGCCGTCACGGAAATCGGGATCTCCTTGCCTCTGATTTAGATCCGTGATATATGATGTCGAGTTCAAAAAAAATTCTCTATATTCTTGACGCAAGCACAAGCAGATATAGGCAATCTTGAAGAATATTCGGCAGATGTACATGATCGGATACCACTGATAAAAGCGCCGATTGATTCACGGCAACAATCCATTTTACCAGTCGGAACCTAATTTATAGTTTCCGGCTACTATTTTGCTACTTTCGAGTGCGCCTGTAGTACTCACAAGTATTTTGCTATTCAATGGACTGGAGCTAGCGACTGACACTATATCTCCATTTGAAGTGTTTTCGAAATCGCAGCCCCGATTGTTCTTCAACTATCCGTTACCAGGTCAGAGCAAGGAAATATTGGTTCCGCTTTTTTCGCAGAGTTTTGAGGTTCACCATTGCTACGTGCCCTTACCCTTTAGCGAAGCATTATCCTAACATTTCACAAAGCAGCGCAAGGTACTCAAATTAGTTTACGTCGAGAAAATCAGGTCATTCCAGCGAATGGCTAAGTGCTTGCCATACCTGTGGCCAGGTTAGTTCGATCGCATAAGCAGTTCGCTTGTATTTGAGAAACATAAATTGACGCGGTGATATCACTGCGCAGTGGCAAATTAATGAAATGAAGGACTTAAAAGAGTCACTAAGAGTACTATATTGAAACCAGCAACTCAATGTTCCAACCTAATGATGATGGCAATTATTAGACTTGAAGCCATAAGCTAGTGGCTGGCGAGCGGTTGTGCCAAGTCATCTGTGTGAAAGCGGCGTGAGGTGTGGGGGGGGGGTGGCTATTAACCCTCTCTGCGCCTCTCCCACATAATGACGCTGAGTCAACCGTCGCGCCCTCCTTACAATAATGTCAAGGTTGAAGGTTGACTTGTTCGTAGTTTCCAAAGTCACATTTATCGACTGAGTACTGCGATCTCATTATGGTCTGACAGAGACTGCTAGCTATCCAAGTTTCTTGATAAATTCTCTCTGTTTTTGTTTTTCTTGTTTTTTAGTACCAACAAGTATAACTACCCCTGTTTTTTGGGTCCGTTTCCATTAATGTGGAAAAGATATAGTTCTGTTATTCTTTTGGTACCCTGTCGAAGACTTTTGTAATCGAAGACTTTTATTGTAAAAGAGTTCTTGGGCGATACTGCCTCGCGCGAACTTGAGGTTCTCGCAAACGGTTACTGGACTAAAAAATGCGATTATTGAATGTTGTGAGTGATGATTCCGCTGTTGAAACAGCCTTTGAATTCTTTTCTCAAAATTTCGGAATCTTATCCATACTTTTCAACACTCTCAATTTCCCAGAAGCCTTCCAGGACAGTAGTGACGAATCATCTGCCGAGGGCAGGCATCCATCCTCCAAAACGTCACGTATGTTCTTTCGACACAGGTCAGCTGAAAGATTACAAGCGGTTTCCGTTATGTCTATGACAGTCGCGACATCTGCCTACTTTTTTCATTTGGACAGGATAAGCTTCACTTTTTGTTATTTCTTGGCTTCATCAAAACTTTAGTTTGGTTGTTAACTCGATCCGATCCATGACAACTATGGCGGGGAAGGTCGTCAAGGCTTCGAAGTGGCCATTTGTGATGAATTAGATCAGCTAGACGTGTGATCCTGCTACCGTTTATACCTCCACTCGCGGACTGTAGAATCACATGCGGTACGTGCGTCCTCCCTTGATATTACATTATATCGGAAAACGTCGTATTCTTTCAGTTTCTAACTGACACGCCTAAGTGTGGCAGCGGCCTATCTCGCTCAAACGGTGGCACTGCACTGTGAGTTCTCTGCCTTGCGATATTGGCGATCTTCTGCTGAGGGGTTCTAACACGACGTGCGAACTCCGCTAGAGTTGACGAGGTGCTTGGTGGGGTAGGTTGCATATCTGATGCTTGAAACACATTCAGGCCTCTGAAGACGCGACGATTCAGTCGAAACGTTAGGCCATTTGTAATAAATGTTCCACCTAACAACCTCGTAAGGCACAAGAATATTAAAACACTCACAACTAACATGCCGCAGGTTTGCAGAAGAGAGTAAAGCTGGATACTTAGACGTGGTTTTGGACGCTGATCTTGAATCTGCCTTCAAAATTTGCAAAGCGATTCTCTGAACGAGTTATGGAGCCGCGTTTACCACGCAACAGGTCATGGGATCGGATCCCTGCTGAGCTAACTTTTCTTAGTTTGCGCCCTCAAACCAATAAAAAAAAACAAAACGTGGCAAAAAAGTGTATTTGCCCGTTCACTACACTTCGTCTCACCTAGAGCTTCTGAAAAGTTGCCTGCCATTTATGACTGCCTTGGACTCCTTGTAGACTACAAGATGCACTATGCAGGCTTCTATCAAGGAGTCCAAGCGCAGTAAATAAATGTAGCAACTTTTCAGACAAGCTCAGGTGAGAACTGAAGTAGTAGTGACGGCAAAATCACTTTTTGCCACGTTTGCGCAACAAGCAAAAAAGTTAAGCTCAGCAGGGATCCGAATCCCATGACCTGTTGCGTGGTAAACGCGGCTCCATAACTCCGTTCAGAGAATCGCTTTGCAAATTTTGAAGGCAGATTCAAGATCAGCGTCCAAAACCACGTCTAGTGATCTACATCTCATCACAAATGCCACTTCGACCTGACGACCTTCCCTAGTGAGCGCTAACTTAGAAGGGACCACTCGGCCGCAAAAAATAGTCCCGCAGAGAATGTAATCTCCACTGGCAATAAACCTGAGCCTTGAGTAGAAGAAGGGATACTGAGGCACTGACGAGTGATGTTCCCCCCCCCTCCCCTCCCCAACGACGTTGGCGGCCATTTCTCCCTACTTTTTATTATGCATGCTGATTCGTCCGCAACAAAGTGAATATTTTACATTACATTTCGCGTCATGCAAAATTTTTTGACCAACCCGGTAACAAGGCGAAGACCAGCAAAGAGATGAAGAAAATCAGCCGAAGGATTTCTGTCTTCGCTAACAAATCGAAATTCTATTTTGCTGAGTTCCTCGGTCTAGAAGCTCTGGAAAGGGAATGATTCATTAAAACGCGTCTCGTTTACAGATAACCAACAACATTGTCATATCAGCGTCATCGCAGACGTTCCACTTGAAGGCTGGTAATGACGTTGATCGACAGAAGTGGCTCAGTGCTTTGGAATACTCACGTCATAAGGCCATCAGACAGGCCGAAAGTGGTGAATACGGTTGCACTATAATTTTATTTGTTAATGACTAACGTTCGCTTTGACATCATCGACTATTTTAGTTATTGAGGCACGACCTCTCTCTCCCCAGCAAAATTGAGTGCAATTTTGCTAGGGAGAGAGAGGTCGTCATCAGCGAAATACTAGTTTCAAGAATAAGAAGTAGTAGTTGTAGGTAGATCTGCGGCGCCGTAACTAAGGCTGCGTTTATACTTTGCGGCAGCGTAGCGTAGCGCTTCCAGCGTACGCCAGCGGCAGTGCCGGGGAAAGGATGAGCAGGGAGTAGAGACTATGTGGCCGTGAGAGACGCGGAATCGACGTGTATTGTAGAGACTATGTGGCCGTCGGAGACGCAGAAGCGATGTGCATTGTAGAGACTAAGGGCGAGTGAGAGACGCGCAATCGATGTGTTTTGTACCCTCCAGCTCTCCCATAGTCTCTACTCCCCTGCCGCTGCAAACGCTAGCAAAACGCTGGTGAAACGCTGGAGAAACGCTGGCGTACGCTAGCGTGACGCTGGTGACGCTGGGAACGCTAGATCGATATGCATCCTCTCCCCGGCACTGCCGCTGGCGTACGCTGGAAGCGCTACGCTACGCTGCCGCAAAGTATAAACGCAGCCTAAAGAAGGGCTATATAGCGGACAATGAGAAAAACTGAGGAAAGTCAACAACCAGGAAACTTCCGCTCCCTCTCTCCAAGTCCGATCCCCCACCGCGATGGGGTTCTGCCAACGATACAGTACCGTGGATGGAAAACTTGCTTCTTTTGGATATACTTGGGTGAAAAGTGGTGAGGGGGTGCTTTTGTTACAACAAGCATCCAGGAAGCCTACTTAGGTTAGCAGATCAGGATAGTGAACGCATCTCTCGAAACTCAGCATTCCCGCGAGGTTGACTCAGCTCGGCACTTTTGCGTCAGATCAAGAGTGTCTAGACCGTATACTGTCTGTCCTAAAAATAAATGGTATAGCTAAACCATACTTAGGCCTGACCTTGATATAAGCACCATTCAGTGAACTGACGCTCAAGTATCGAGTCAACTAGCGAAGAATGCCGTCTTGGGTAGCGCGCTTGGACTTTGCGATGAAGCGCACCGACGCGCTGTAACCTAACAGTGCGCTCCTACACTACAGACGCAAACGCAGTCGCTCGGCGCAGGCCGCTTTTGTTTAGAGAGTATGGGGTTACAGGAGGGTAGGTGCTGCCTTCACGCAATCTGGTACCCTCCTGTTCTTGTATGCTATCTCAAAATACTTACGGCCAATGCCGATCGATACCAGGCTGTGTGACTAGGCAACGCGTACCCATTACCCCATGATTTCTCCAAATTCTTAAGCCACCGGCGCCGATCGATTGCTGTCTGCGGCTTGCGTCTATAGTACTGGAGCGCTGTTGCAACTGTAGCGCGTCATCGAGAAGTCTGAACGCTGCCTGCGCGAGATGCGGTGTCTCGGCCTGTCCTTAATTGCATTGGTACTATGACACCTGATTATAAGTTCCCTTGCCATCATAATCTGGCAAAAAGAGCTCCGTTAGGTGTTTTTCCTCAGTGAGAACTGTAGGGATATCCTTCGAGACTTGGCTTGTTTAGTCGTTGATTGAGCGACTGTATGGTTTCTCGCAGTTGTCCGCAGTTTTGCGATCACGGCAACCAATACTATATGACTTTATGCCTTATTTCAGATGAGGATGAGGATGCGCATATTGGTACGGGAGAGTCCCGAGTCGCCGTATTACAGAAAACTCATAAAGAGTTGCTCAGAAAATTGGACGATTTACAAACCGCGGCTCGTATATTAGGTCAGTGGTATATTTGCTGTATTGATTTTCCACCATGCAGTGAATTTTATGGCTACATTTCATCTGTTCGCACTAATGGGCTTGAGAATCTCTCGTCAAATCTTGGCACTAGAGAGCCTTTTATTGATAAGCATGGCTGAGAAAGCACTGTACGTGCAGTGTCCTGTTGTTTGTTTATCGAATGGGTCGGTTTTTCCACGTCAATTTATTTTTTCCCTCTGCAGCCGTATTTTTGTCTCGATAGCACATAATCAGATTCCCTAATGACGTACTCTATCACGATTGCAAGTGAAGTTTGGACTTGAAGATGAGTTCTTGATGGGAATGACGGTGCTTTGTTTAAAGTGGGAACAAGAGACTCTTTGTAATGTGTGCCTATTTCTTATGTCAGATACTGGTATTTGCTGTGATTTGGCTCACCGAACTAGTTTGATTACCGACTGATGCCCTTTTGATGGGTGTGTCGTAAAGGCTGTGGATGTCAATGGCAGTCCGCATGCCGTGCCTTTTTTCGTTTGACTTCGACTGAATGTGTGTTAAATTGCGTCACTTTCGATGGTGACTGTGAATGAACTTAGATGTCGTCACTTCAATTGTTTGACTTTCCTCTGTCAATGCCATTGAAAAGCGTAAGGGTAAGTTCCGGCCGAGCTTGTGATCTTAGAGGAGCTCATCTTTTCCCCCACCTGCCCTGAATAGGTTCTTCTGGCGAATTGAAGGTAAACGTAAGTGAGTAGATATTCGAAGACTGGTGAAGTTGAATTTTTAAACAGGGCCCTACGGGTAGTTGTTGAGGAGAAAGGAGTGTTTTCCGCTTGCAGCAAAATAGGCGCTGCAAACAGTATGACGAGTTCTCACTAGGACCCAACCCACCGAACAGGGCAGCGCTCTGCGCGTCGACTTTCTCTGCGTCTCCGTCTCTCGAATTGACTGGCTCTCTCTTTCTCTCTCTTCCTGTGTCTGTCAAGTCAACTAGTCTGCTGGTGCGCGAAGTGCTGCTAGCGGAACGTAGCGTTCCCTTCAAAGTGGGTAGGGAGGTGCTGAACGAACAGTTTTCTTCGTTTCATGACGTGCCTTGTGACAACTCTGTGATGAAAATCTAGTAATTGTTCTTTTCTCTAACTGAGGCAGGGGCAAACTCTAGCACCACCTTGGATCCTGGATCTTGCCCGGTGTGACGCGAAAGAGACCACAGTTGCAGTAGAGTGACTGTTTCTGCAGTCAAAAGTGAATAGGAATGAGAGGAGGGTTGTGATCCCAGGTGCTGTCTCGACTCTGCTCTCGCTGCCGCACGCCCAACAACAGCCAAACGCACTACTCGCCTGCGCGCTTGCGCTTGTGCTGGTTCTCTATCGTTGAGTACGTGTTCGCTGAGGGATCCCGGTATCGACGGAAGTGCTGCACATTGTGGATATCGCGGGTGGAGTCGGGAGACGGCCCCCGATCACTACCCTCCAATCTTGTTCTCTTGCCCTTTTAAAGAATGGTACGATCACACATCGTTTGCCTCCATGCTCCGCCCAATGCCTTTTGCGGCGCAGACTCCCGTTTATGCTAACAGCCGTCCGCGCGGCGCGTGTCGCGCGCAGCGCTCTTGGCACTTTGCCAAGTCCTGTAATTGCGCTTTGGAATACAAGTAAAACGCAAACTTCCTGATGCGGATAACATTTGAGGTGTTACGTGTGAGGTGTGAGGTGTTGCTCATGCTGCAAAGTCCGAATAGAAGGTGATGAAGATGACAAAGGCTAGAAATGAAGAACAACGAATGTAGATGTAAATAAAACAAAATTGAAAAAACTAAGGAAACGCAAATTAATTAAAATCGCGTGTAATTTCTGCGCGAATCCGGCTCCAAAGCCATAGAAATACTTCAAACTAACGAGTGGGACGCTTAGGCCGTTTTTATTTTCATGTTTTGTGGGAATGCGCGGCCTCTGAGGGATATTGCAGAAGCAGCACAGTTGCTCTTGAGTTCTGGCCCTCGTCATCATCTTCGGTTCTTATTTTGCAGCACCTAAAATGTTATCCGCATCAGGAAATTGCGTTTTACTTGTATTCCAAAGCGCAATTACAGGACTTGGCAAAGTGCCAAGAGTGCCGCACGCGACACGCGCGCACACGACGGCTGTTAGCATGAACGGGAGTCTGCGCCGCAAAAGGCATTGGGCGGAGCATGGAGGAATTAGCGTGTTTCACGGTCCTGTATCTCCATTCCTGCGCATGTTAGGACGGGGAAACCGCTACGCTTCGACAGCTGGGGGGGAGGGCTGATAGTCACACACACCCAAACTATGTGTGATCGTACCATTTGTCTTCAAGCAGAACAAAAGGCACGCCAGTGCATCCACCACATGAAAGGACCCTTCTAGAAGGTGAAGGTCAGTGTACGCTTGAGTTATGGTGAAGCCTACAACACAATGCAACTTTCGCATTGTCCTATTTCCTCGCTTTTACCATGGGTTTTACGAATCCATGGTAAAAGCGAGGAAATGCCGGGTACGTTCTTCAACAGTACCCGGCATCTTCGCTGTAATTGACATAGATGTTTTCCTTCCTCTTCGATATGTTTTCGACATTTCCGTCTGCTTTTTATCTTGACTATCCATCATATCGTCATTTTGTAAAAATGGGAACTCCTTTGCTCGTCAACAATGCCTAACTGGCTTCCTAGCAGAGTGACGTGTGCTTTGCAGAAGGTCCGAACTTCTCGGACCTACTTTCATGGCCCTTCTTCGAAAATAGCTTCTTTAGTTGGAGGGGAAAACGACCTGTAAACAACTGCCTAACGTGAATTTGGGTGTTGAACAGTCTGAACTCTCGAAATTCGAAATTATTAGCCAAATACAGCACCCTGATTTTTGATTCTTGTATACAGTATCGAAAATACGTGATGCAAGTGTGGTTCAGCGCTGTCAGATGACATGATTTTGTGTTGCGTAAGCATTGTGGCTCCCAGGTGATAAGGCTGCAGCCCGCGCCCTGCGCACTTTCGAGTATTGTGCTGACCCGACCCTGGTCACCCAATTTCAGAGCTGACTGGACTGCCCCATAAGTGTGCATTTGAAACTGGCTCCCATCAATCCTGATCAAGCCTCTGATCAGGACAAGTGCTGCCATCACCCTATTGGAAGAGCGAAATGATGATGAATGTCTCCCCTATCATCAGTTCGACGAGTTCCAGAGAGAAGAGACAATAAATCGCCTCTTTTTTATTCAATACTACGACGAGACTTTTTTGTTGCCTTTATGGAGGGCTCCTGGACTTTTGAGGCTTGATCGTTTATTACAGTACATGTTGTATAGCCACGCGTCCTGATAGCGAGGAGAGGTTGAGTTCCAGCTGGTCAAGACTCTAGCCAGTAGCAAAGCATTCTTATGATTAGCTCATATTTTGACGTCAGCAGGATGTTCTCGTCGCTTTTTGTTGAGTCTCGAGGGGTGGTGGGAGAACAGTGGGAATCGCGATCAGCGCTCTCTTGTTTTTCACGTTTAATGCTGCGAAATGTGGTTATCGCGAGAGTTGATCTGGTGTCTTCTGTTTATCTGTGATGAGTGGTCAAAATTTATTAGAACTGAATAGAGACACATAGGTCGTGTTCGCTACCGTATATGATAGGCGCTATAAGGGTGATTAGTTTTCTGGTGATTAGGGGAGCTCTGTTATGGCAAAGACGGCATGATAGGTGATCGCATGTGGACTGTTGAGATAACGGGTGGCAGCCATACCGGTGAAAAACATTATTTGCAAAAGAATCGCTGCGGCGGCATTAATACGAAACCTAATGGATTTGGCAGGAAAGTGCTGCGTTGGGCGAGTCATGGATAGCACGGTTTATGTTGAGGACGGCAAAGTGATACATGCAGGCAGCTCGAGGTGACTGGTGGCGAGGCGCTCAGATAAGAAGAAGTGTAGGCACTGAAGTTGTAATGAGGAGTTGCCATGGGAATACGCTCTCTTTCGGAATTCAGCGCACTTAGGAACGCCCCCATTCGCTCTTCGATAAGGGCTATAGAAACGGCTTTAGTGAGTTCCCGCTTGCCGCCACATCCTGCATAATCAGATAGAAATATAAACTAAAGTGAATGTAGATGAGAAATGTTGGTCTTACTTAAGAGGGCGCTCATAGCATGCCTATTATTTAGCTAGTCAGTCAACTTCACAAAGGAGGTGTGGGTTATTGCTAGAACCTTAAGGGAGCTAAAGTAAGGGGCTAACAAACAGCACGGCTTGCTATAAAAGAAAAGCCAGGAAAAGCCAAGCTCATAAAAGGCTAGAAAACTCTCTCGTTTTTAACACCTTTTGAACGTCCATTGTGCTGAGCATCTTCCTCATTATTCTTCACTTGTTATTTAGATGTTGGAATAAGGTTTTTGGGTGAGCTGTCGTTTGCACTGTGAGTCGACTGGGACTGTTGGCTTCGGTAACGGTCGATCTAGCTAATGTTTCCACTGAGATGGCTGCGTATATTTCCCATTTTCAGGTCTTCTTCAGCTCGAATGTTAGGTATTGTTATATTTAAATCAAAGTTTGTATCTGTAATTTGTTATTATTCCTGTCCTGAGGATGACTTCGAGTAAATGCTGGAATAAGACAAAGTACAAAGGAAATGAGCATAATAATATGGTCATTTTTAAGATATGAGTGAATATAGTAGCAGTATATAACTTATAATTGATTTCGATATAATAACACTTCTACTTTCGAAGCTTAAAGAGCCGAAAAAATGGGGATTCGCAGCGCAGCCGAATTCCATCGAAATCAGCTGATTCGCCGTCACCGAGCCGCAGCCGCTGTCGCGTCACAGTGCAGCGCGGCTCACCGCCCCGACAGTCCGCAATGATGAGGACTGTAGATCATATGAAACCGCGCAGAGAGAAAAATGTATGACACACCACGTGTGTCACGCGGTCCGGAACGTGATAATTGATCTCGTGGAGTATCCGAGGGCAACGCCTACCTGTTCGTCATGTGAAACCGACTTTCACTTCGAGAATCCCTGTTGCTTTTCATCTTCTGCACTTCTTGTTTAGTAGAATACTGACGTGTCTTCCCTCCTGTCACGAGGTGCTTGAAGGGGCGTGGCACTCGCAGTAGGCGGAGTCACTTTGCAAAGTTGGCGCTCAGTAACATTGTTGCGCT